AGAACCTATGTGTTTAACTTGAAAAATAAATAATCTAAATCATATTAATTCGAAAAATCAAATAATAGAATATGTCAGATTGTTCTACAGTGATTAGATTGGGTCTCAATCCAACCTAATTAATACTAAGCCTTTAAATGAAATATAATAAAATCTAAAAAATAAGAAACAAAATTAAAATAAATAAAAATAATAATCTTTTCATCATTAAGTAATTCATTTATTTTTAATTTATTTTTTTATTTTTATTATGATTGATGTGACATTCTATATTTAATAAATATCTTTATAACAACATAGATTTACTCCAACCTTACTTGAAAATAACAAAAATAAACCGAATTATAATTAATATTAGTATTTAAAAAATAAAAATAATGTTTAATATTTTATTAAATAAAATCTAGTTAAGAAATAATTCATACAATTTGTTTATAATTTTATAGCCATTATTTCTCAGTTATTTTTTATTCACGTTACTAAAGTTATATTTTTAATTTCCGAAGGCTTCCTTTTGTTCGTTAAAAATGCGGCGTAGTTCCTGGGAAACCCTAAAAATTGCTATAAATTGAGGGTCTTGCGAGAAACCCTTGGCGCCGTTGTTGAGGGCTCTTGTATCGTTTCAATCTTTGTGCTTTGTACAGTAGTTTGTTTCATTTTCAGTGTTTGAGTTTTGTTTGGTTTTAACGCTTTCATAAAAGAGTTCACGGTGATGACCACATAAAATTCAAGCTCAACAGACCGGAATGCACGGCTTTCTCTTTTGGAGATTGCTTTGCGTGTCGACTATCCCGCTGAACTGAGTGATCTCTTTCATTCTTTATCAAATCACGTTTCTCTTTTCAATTACGTTTTAATTTCAAATTATTATTATTTTTTCTGTTACTATTGATGTATATTGGGGAAAAAGTTTTCACGATGAGGATAGCAAAGCTCCCTCTTCCAAAATTTCAATTTGAGGAAGAACGCTGGCTGAATCGAACCATAAACCTTATGGCCACCACTGAGTGATCACTTTCCTCTATTATTCAGTTTGTTTTTTCTTGTATGCTTTGTTGAATTCATTATTTGTTCGCATCTAGTTCAATCTCGTTCTGAACAGTGTGCGAGACAGTGGATGTGCGAGACAGTGGATGTGCAACCGCCGTGGAAAAGGCCAATGTGGCAGGGATGCATGGGGTGGGACCGATGGATAATCCGAAGGTGTGTTACATATTTTTAACTTTTGTATATAAAAGTTCAAGTATCTTTGTTAGTATCTGAATACCTTAAATTTTAAGCGAAGAAACCCTAAATTCTAGACCAAAATTTACATTCTCTGTTCGCCAAATCAATTCCTGAACGCCCCTCTTTTGAGTAGCCCTATGTGAACACTTCAATTCTTTAGCGGCTTAGTTAGGAGGTGCACATTAATCGGATCCAAATTCGTTTTTGGATCCATTCGGAGAAAGGCCTTTTGAAGGGACTCTGCGTTTCTTATCGATTGTTCCTCAAGCAGCCATTCACATTCTATCAATCAATCAACTGTTTTAAATCTGCCTCCAGAATAACGGAACGGCGAACAACCGTCGTTTGGCTCAGACAGAGGCGCACATCAAATATATGAAATGTTGAAACCTTTCGATTATTTGAATAGGTATGAGGGTGCGGAACTCGATTTCACATTTCCTACCCAGATATATTTCGATATTCACATTTTCTTAATTTGTTTTTATTATCGATGGTTAATTTGCTAGAGTGATTTTTTTTATGGTAATTGTTGATTATTTCATTCACTAATTTGGCACTGTTCAGTGAAACCTTACAACTTCTGTATTGAGTATATGATAATAATAATTCATAGATAGATGCAAGCTTTGTACATAAAGCCTCCACCAGAAAGCTGAAGGATGGTGAAATGTTAGGTCTTTCGGTTCGCACGGAGGCTAAGAGAAAGGGTTCGACCCACGGGATCTTTTGAAGGAAATGAACAATTTATTTTTATTATTTTCATTTCTCATCATAGATTCCACAATTTATTTTTATTATTTTCATTTCTCATCATAGTTTTCTTATTTTTTATTATATTTTTTTTTCTTGTCCTTCTATTCATTTTCCAATCCAAATTTGTGGCAACTATCTCGTTATCTTTTGTCAACTCGTTTATCCATTCTCCAATCCAAATACAATGCAATTATCTCGTTATTTTTTATTAATTCGTTTTTAAAAACAAACATTTATTATTTTCTTTTCTTACATGAAAGTTAAAATAACTAATAGTAAAATCATTTATTATATATCTCTTTCTTTAAGAAACTATTAAGATTTAGTATTTGATAGGAAGTTCCCTTCATTTTGATTTAATTTTATTTAATATAACGTTCTAAAAACAAATGTTACATAGAAACATCTTTTGAGATGTGTTATGAATTTAATATAACGGGCCACTTTTGAGAAAGGTTCATGTTGTGGGTGGATTAACTGGGTTAATTTTCTAGAAGCCCAGAAAATGAACCATTCACTGACGTAATACTGTTTGTGGGTTTAGTTCCTAGGACATCTTATAGGGCATTTCATTTATAGGAATAACGTGCGATAATATTTTAAAAACATATTGCTGTCATAATGAAAATAGTGTAATAATTATTTCATCATATTCTAATATAATGTTATAATTATTTAAAACAATTATTAAATTGTATTTATTAGACTGTTAGGAGTATATGAATAATAAATATATAATAAATATTGCATGTAGAGCTATGGTGAAAGAAAACTACAAAGGATAGAACAATGCTAAAAAAATTATAAAATGTTTGTTTTGGTTTTATAAAACAAGTGTATATTGTCTTTTCCCAGTTTTGCGCTACTAATGATAAAGGAAATGAAAAAGGAATTTAAAAATGAGGGAAAGGTTTTGATTACAAAATTGTAAAATTATAAAGGTCAACGAATTTTAATGTAGTTATATGAGTTCATTCTTTTAATGAAACTATTCTCTTAATGAAACTATCGAAGTTCATTCTCAGTTAAATATTATCCACTAAAGCTCAACCACATTTTCGGACGAAATTGTTTTTGTAATCTATATTTTTCAGTGGATAATTTCTTCCATTTATCTTTCAATGGATACTAATTTTATTTTTCTTATGCTTTGCGAAAGGAAATTTATTTTCTTTTGTAAGGAATACACTTTTTTTTATGATAGTTATCCTTAAGATTCTGACTTTTCTCATACTTATTATTTTATAGTAAACATATAATATTATTACAGTAATATAAGGGATCAAATGAAATATACACATTTCTAATTTTTAATTTCAAAGTAAAGTATAATCAGACATTCTTCTTTATTTTTTTTTTCTTCTTTCTTTACTTGTAGCAAAAGATTATGATATCTTATGGAAGTTTCCACTGCTCTTTATAGAGTCATTATTAATGTACACAAGTTTAATTTGTTAACACTTATGTCTAAAATTGGCACATAAGACTTGTTTCTTTCACCATATAACTTATATTTCTTTATAAGATAATCTTCAATGAAATATATCATGTTATTAACAAGGTTAGCTTGTTAATATATATGTTCAAAACTGGCACATAGATGGTTATTAAGAGTATTAGGATAATTTCTAACAATAGGATTTCTAACATCAACTAAAACACATGTAAGTGGATAAATAGACACCATTAATAAACTTAAGAGTTGGGAGAGAAACTAAATTTTAATACTATTTTTCTCTTAACTCTAATACATCATACTACCATATTTATAAGGGATATTAGTTTAACAAAGGAAAAACAGAAAAGCTTATTAAAAAAATACATTACATTTTAACACTCCTCCTCAAGCTAGAACAATTGGACCATATAAATTGAGTTCTAGGCTTGTTTAGAGATTTGGTCAAAATGTCTTCAAGTTGTTAATTAGAGTTGACAAATTTAGTAACAAGTTCCTTGGACAACAACTTCTCTCTAATAAAATGATAATAAATTTCTATGTGTTTTGTTCTTTCATGAAAAACTAATGTTGATAGGGAGAGTTATATCTAGTAAAACTCATCTCATATATATGTTTTTGATGCAAAAGAAATGTTTTATGATTTCTTGCACAACAAATGACAAAACATATTGCACATTGTATTATTAAAACATATTTCACATTGTATTTCTGGTAGAAATAATTGATTAGACAATGTATATAATCTGTTATATTTCTCCAGATTTTAGTATATGCTTAACAAGAACAAAATAACTGTGTTATAATCAATTACAGTAGTTGTATAATTGATTAAAACACGTTGCTATGCCAACATGTGTTTGATGAGTGCATTGATATGTTTGGAATGAAAAATGATTTTGAAATTTGCTTGAGTATGGAATTTAACCGATTACATAAGTTTCATAATCGGTTAAACTGTTTATCTTGTGAAAATCATTTTCATTTAAAGCCATAACTGTTTATAACAGTCATATTTGTTTGTTGTTAGCTTGTATGATTTATCTAATCGATTGCATGCGTTGTAATTAATCTGTTAAATCTAAAAAACAAATGTAAAACTGCTAAAGGAGAAGAAAAATCTTAACAAATTACAATATTTGTGTAATCTATTAAACTACGTCAATAAACTACGTCAATAAACTACGTTAAGATTTGAAAATCCTATAACTAAAGTTGTTGAAGGAAGACTGGATGTAGGCTTCGTCAAACTACGTTAAGATTTGCGTAATCTTTCTCTCTCTCTTTCTCTTTAATTGTTGATTGATATACTTGCTTTATTGATTTCAAGAAAACTTAGATTTGGAAAGCTTTTTGGAAGAATAATTTTTTAAAGGGCCAACCAATTCACCCCTTATCTTGGTTGAGATATTGACATCACTTTTCTATCAACTAGATTTGAGGCAATATAAAGGGTTGCTTGGTTGTCACAGTACAATTTCAACGACTCATTTACACAAAATTTCAATTCTTCAAGAAATTGTCTTATCCATACAAGTTCGCATGTAGTTAAAACCATATATCAATATTCAACTTCAGCACTAGATCGAGCAACAACACTTTGTTTCTTCGTTTTCCAAGATACATGGTTCCCTCCAAGTAAAACACAGTATCCTATAGTAGATCTTCGATCAATTGGACAATCAACCCAATCTACATCACAATATCCTTCGATTTGAGTGTTTCCCTTGTTCTCATACAACAATCCTCTTCTTGGGTTTCCTTTTACGTATATGAGAATGTGAATCATTGCATTGTGAATCATTGCATTGTGAATCATTGCATTCGAATTGTCAACATGTGGATTTTGCATAAATTGACTCACAACTCCAACTGGATAAGAAAGATTCGATCTTATTATGGTAAAATAGATGTGTTTTCCAATCAACTCTCTATATCTCTCTGGGTTTGAGAAATGTTCACCTTGATCTCTCATTAACTTTTGATTTTAGACCATAAGACTATCAATGGGCTTGCAATTTTTCACGCTTGTCTGTTTCCTTTAAAATATCAAGAACATATTTCCTTTATGAAATTATGACACCTTTATTTTACTGTGCCATTTCAATACCAAGAAAATATTTTAGACGACTCAGATCTTTAGTCTGAAAGTGGTTGAATAAATGATACTTTAATTGAGTAATCTTAGTGATGTCATTCCCTGTAATAACAATATCATCAACATACAACATGAGTGAGATAAACACTTTTGTCAAGAGAAAAATGACCATAAAACACTGAATGATCTGCTTCTCATCATTTCAGTCCAAAATTTTGCACAACCCAACTAAATTTACCAAACCAAGATCGAGGTGATTGCTTCAAGCCATAGAGAGAACGACGTAATTTATAAACTAACCCAGACCCCCCTCCCTTGATCAACAACCCAGGAGGTTGCTCCATGTATATCTCCTCTTCTAGATCACCATTAGTAAATGCATTCTTAATGATCAACCATGGCTTGTTGCCATCTAGGATGATCAAGTGCCTCATGAATATTATTAGGAACCTTAAGGGAGGATAAGGAGGAAACAAAAGAGAATTAAGAAGGAGACAAACAATGATAACTCAAAAAATTATAAATAGGATATGGATTAGGAGTAGAGCAAATACCTTTCCGAAGACTTCTTGGAAGTCAATCCCAAGAACTAGAACAATCACAAAGGGAAAACCTATTCAGAACAAGATGCAAAATCTTTGAAAACACTTGTTCATTGATTGTGGATAGTGGTTCCTCTTGCAATTGTTATAGTTCTAGAGTGGTGAACAAATTGGCCTTACCTACTATTTCTCATCCCAAGCCTTATAAGCTTCAGTGGATAATAGAGGATGCAGAAATAGTAGTGAACACACAGGTAACCATACCAATATCCATTGGCAACTATGAAGAAAATGTTTTATGTGATGTTGTTCCAATCGATGCTGGGCATGTATTACTTGGTAGGCCATGGCTATATGATCATAAAACTCCACTCATGATGGTTATACCAACAAAATAACTTTCCTCCATAAAGGAAATAAAATCACATTGATTCCTCTAACACCTGAACAAGTGAAAGAGGATGAGATAAAAATCAAAGAAAAAATTGAAAAAGAAAGAAAACAAGAAAATAGGTTGGACAAGCAACCTTCTCAAGAAAAGAAGAAAGAGACAAAGGTATGCATGTTGTTGTTAACTTCTTCATTAACATGTAAATACCTTGACTCTTCTTCTCAAAAACATCACTTTGTTTCTTCATTTTCTCATGGGGAATGTTCAAAACAAAGTGAAACCAAAACTATATTAAAGGCCAAGACTTCTTCTAATAAAATTTGTCAAAAGACCTTCATTTTCTCTTCTTATCTTGGCATACATCCTTTTAATCATACTAATTATTGCTATTTTTTGTAGATATATTTTTGACCCGGGTGGAAAATAAAAACCACAATTGTGCTTCAGTCTTTCTTCCCGATTTGAGGACAAATCGTTTTTAAAGAGGGAGGGAATGATGACAACCCCTTTAGGGACTTCCCATCCAAAGAAATATCAACTTAAGATTAAGAAAGGGAAGTTCAATAAACAAAAGGATCTTTTCTTTTTAAGTCTTAGAATGTTCTCTTTAACTAAATACATTTACCTTGTTTTGTAGGTCACTAATAAAGGTAGAAAACCTTGCCAAGCAAAGGAGAGAAAAGAAAGCAAAGAAGAAATGTCATTTCCGTAGTCAACAAGCTGCTAGCACGTGGCCATTATCTTTGCATCAACCATTTCACATTTTAAACATTTCCCACGTGAAACACATCAAAATTGTGCATCTTCTTCCTTTGAAGCACATTTCCCACGTGAAACATATCTAGCTGGTAGCTTCATGCACGTTTGAATGTAAACTGGTAACTTCCTTTGCACATTTCAGAGGCTTCTCTTACTCTATAAAAAAGAGCTTCTCATTCTTGTAAATCAACTTGAATGCCTTAGTAAAATGCTGCTGAGATTTATCCAGCCATTCCTAGCTTCGAGTTCAATCGCTTGTGCCTCTTTAACACGTTTTCCTCCAGCTTCCTTCCCTCTTGGAAGGCTTTCTGAGCTTGTGAGGCTTCAACATACACCAAACATTCACTGAACCATTACACAAACACCTGGTGTGCACCTCCGCATTCACTCGTCCAATCAATCCGCTGTGTCATTCTGGTTCGTGTGGCTGCTCTAACATGGAGCATGGAGCTGCTTCCATCATTTGGTAGTCAGAGCCAGCATGTCCATGCTTGTATTCAAGAGATAAGCCTCTTCATTTTGCAAGTTTTCGTTTTTGTCTTGTGTTGTTCTGCTGTTCATCACTTTTTTTTCTTTGCTTCAGTTTGTGTTTGTAATTGTTGTTCATGTGTTTTCAGTATTCCTTAGTGTTTTTTCTTCATCATTTTAATCAGTGCAATTCAATTCTTTGAGTTCAATTCCAACTTTAATTTTAATTTCTAGTTTGTCCATGTCATGTGCAATATTTGTTGCAGTTTTACCTCTGTAATCTGTGTTTGGTCCTGTTCTGCTTTCATTTTTTTGTTTTAATTAAGTCCAGTGCATTTGCTAGTTATATAATGATCATCTAAAGCAATGAGATCAATTCTAGCTTTGATCATACGAGCTAAATGCAGTGCCAAACTTTGTTTCCAGTTTGCAAAATCTACATCAAATGCATTTCTGGTTTGATCATGTGCACACTGTTTCTGTCCAGATTTATTGATTCTAAAGCTTGAGACAAGTGTATTTGATGATTTTATACATGTTTCAAGTGTTGGCAATCTGTATTAACCATTGAATTCCAAAAAGTATAGTTGAGTTGATTCAAAAATCTGGTTTCGAAAAAAAAAATGTCACTATTTCATCAAAGTGTATGCACCGTGCTTACTGTTTTGTTTGTTCTTAGGCTTTAAAATTCTGCTAACTCTTATTATGTAGCTACATCTAGTGTTTTGGATATCTTTGAGTCATTATGTGTGTGCTGTCCAGCCTTGTTTCCAAAAATTTCTTAAATTTGGTGCAGAATTGGTGCTTTTGTGCTGCATTTTTTTACTACAGCTAGGGTGATTTGATGAATCTGGTTGTTTCAATGCATTCTTACCTTTTGTGCAAGTGTATTTTGCCATTTTAAAGTTATGTGCACAGTTCAAATGGTCATTTTTAAGCCTATATGCAGAATCACCTTTTAAACCATCAAAATTATGATTTAAATGGAAGTGAACCAGTCATTTTGCATTATGATCTGTTTCTGAGTTGTGTAACAGTTTGCACATATGTAAAATCATTATCCAAACTTGTTTGATCGCTCAATACATTTGTTGCATCACTTCCTACAAATTTAAGGTTTAAAACCACCAATTTAGAAGCCTTTTCTTGTGCAATTTTGGTGGAATATTTCTGCATTTTTGGCAACTGCTACTGTCATTTGATGAATATGAATGTTTCAGTGCTTTCTTCACATTTGAGCAAGTTTATTTTACCATTCCAAACTTGTGTGCACTTTTCATTTGGTCAGTTTTGAGCCTATGTGCAAAATCACCATCCAAAACATCAAATTTGCTTAAATTTGGAAGTGGATGATAACAATTGAAAAACTATTATTTTTATACTTAAAATTGATATAAAAAACAACCTTTATGACTAGAAACTAACTTGGAATCATGCATTTGCTTATGTTTTTAGAAATAAGAGAGTTAGACAGGTTTTATGCTTGATTTCCTTGTTTTTGCAGGTTTTTTAGATAAATTTCATGAAAGAAGAGAAGTAGGACAGAGATGGAATCAGAAAAGGACACAAAAAGTGCACAAGAAGAGAAGAACCAAGTGCCGCTCAGCGGTGTTCTTCAAGACTCAATGACGCCGCTGAGGGGCAGAAGTGCAGTGAGGAGTGGAATAGAGGACACGCACTCACCGCTGAGCGGTATTTTACTGCTGAG